AAATAACAATTTCTAATTATCATCCGAACTTTATTAATCGGTAGCTTACATACTCTATAACTCCAACAATTGATTATATCAAATTCTCTTACATGAAAATAAATTATTATATACTTTACCTTTTTCAATGCAATTTTTTTGTTAAATCTTACTATAATGTAACCTGTAATCATTCCAATAATATATGGGCCAATTCGGATCCATGGTGGAAAGTATAAGACATCTGCAAGTCTGTTCTGTTCGTCCAAACTGCAATAACAGAAAAGCGTTTATTTACTTAATTATTCTCACATTTAATAACATGCTTTTAAACTTACGTTGGAACAAATTCATAAATGTATGAGACATAACCGCTCAAGATGATCGAGCCTATCAAAATTATACCTAGTACGACAACAGTCACATAAAAATATCTGAAATTTGTATAAGCTTTTATTTATTCAGATACATGCGTTGAAAATATGTATCATTCCACAGTCAACGTTTAACTTACACAGTTGACAGAATTAAAAGCGCCTGACCGATTATAAAGAATTGCATATCGTTGGATAGATACCAACTCCAGGACAAGCACTACAAGAAAATTTCAATATGACTCGAAATAAGGAGTCTCTCTTACAAGCTTCTGAGTATGTGATGCCAGAATGATATTATAATTAAAGGTATATTCCAAAATTTACTGCCAGTATTGAAAATCAATAGTCTGCGTTACGTGCACTATAGGTTTTCAGTACTGGTAGTAAATTTTGAAACGCAGCCTAAATTGGCGTTCGTACCATCGTATTATGACCAAACAGATTATGTATGTACAAGACATTTCTCCACCAGTATTTCGAGCAAGTTTCGTGCGGTCTTTCCTGAACGTAGAATTGCGAAGTCTTGTCGTACCAAACTGAATTTAATTGCACTATTCCTATCATCATTACGTAAGCCGGTGTCAACCTTAAAAGAAATTTCTAGATTTAATTTTAACAACTATAAAGGAAGTAATTATTATTATTATCTGGCTCATAGTTAAATTGAATTTTTAAATCGCATTCTCTGTTATTCTTCTCATTACTGTATCATTGATGTTGTCATACTTACAGCGTCCCATACTGAAAAAAATCATATCACAACGTTATATGATGAAATCATGTAATTAAAACATGTAAATCATGTAACGGATTGTTCCAAATCAGTACGCAATTTTATTAAATGATGTAATTTGAAAAATCACATGGTATTAGAAATAATTTCATCAATTATGTGATTTTATATTTATCGAATTTTAAAGAGTTGAACAATAGAAATGGAAGAAAAACGGACACATCATCATTTTATTTTTCAATATATATAATTAAAAAAATCACGTACTGATTTGGAATAATTTGTTACGTGATTTACATGTTTTAATAATGAATTACATGATTTCATCGCGCGCGCGTGCAACTATGTGACTTTATGATGATTTTTTTCAGTAGGGTCGTTTTTGTTCATTGTTCGCGTCAATCAAAATAACGTTGGAAACGTACCGGATATATCTCTTTATTATTCCGACAAAGAACTCGTTCAGCTTCTCTC